TAATTTTGCTGTGTTACCTTTGAGTCTCTCAGCTAATTGTTAAAATGCACAAAGCTGGCAGGTACTTCAAACACTGTGGTGTGTTGTTTGCGCTTTCCCAGAACAGCCTAATTTGGAGCTCTAAGGAAGTAAGTGGCTTTTGATGCCATGAGCTCAATGTAAGATTTTAACTGCATTTGAAGCAAGAAAACACTTCAGGCAAATGCAGAGCAAAAGAAAGCCGTTTTTCCTTAGGAAACTGAAACATTGGAGCACTTGATGTGCTTTTCTTCCTACCTTTTTCTCTTGAATATTATGCTTTACAGACAACTATTTTTGGTGCCTGAATGCTTTCGAAGAGCCGAGGGTTTGTAATGTAACATCCTAAACTTTGAGCACCTTTTGGGGTTTAAGGGTCAGTTTATAATTTCTGTCTGAAATGTGGCTGAAGATAATTGCAGTTGTTTCTCTCTTGTACATTCCCTCATGTGAGAATCTTGTGGCAGTTCTTTGACTTGCAGGTTTTGGCAAGGGAGGACTGCTGCTCTGGRTGGTCACACAGGGCTTGCTGAGCTGCAGTTAAAGTAGAAATGAACCCACTCTGCCTGGGAACAGCTCCAGAGGTCACTGAAAGTGTTGTAAGAAAGATCTCTGAGGAAAAACTCCTTGCTTTAATRACATCAGAGGAAAATAATGATAAGATGAAATCTTAGTTAATAAGGTTTGGCAACTGAATCATGTTGAAAATACGACATGAGGAATGGATTCTGTTAATCTCAGTGCCATTAAGTCACCAGTCCAGTGATTTGTGTGGATGTTTTCCCAGGTCAAGTCTGATCTGTGGGCTTCCCATTCCAACACAGTTCATGYTGAGTTGAATTATTCTGCACCTGATGTTTTCCCAGTTTTTAAAATCCATGTTAACGAAATGTTGCTAGTTTTTTTGAGGGAGGTAGGAAGATGGTTTMATATCCAGAATTTTACTAAACTGTGATTTAAGACAAACCTCTGCCTCTCTCTAAGGTTGAAGAAGAAATTGGTACTCTCAGGCAAGTTCTGGCTGCCAAAGAGAGGCACTGTGGAGAGCTGAAGAGGAAGCTGGGTCTGACTCCCTTGGATGGGCTGAAGCAAAACCTGTCCAAAAGCTGGCACGATGTCCAAGTCTCCAATGCGTAAGTGTTGCATGTGGTGYACCTGTGTTTAACTGGGACTTTGTGACACTTCCCAGCAGGGTATTCCAGARCTCTTTTGGGTGGCTGGAGGTTTTCATCTGGTGGGTTTATTGAGTAAAAGGCACTTAAAAAAACATTTTTATGTCTGTGTAAACTGAGCTTTCATATCTGTGATCCAGATAAATTGTTGCTGGATGCTCTTTCCCACGATGTTAGAGATCTGGATCACTGCTGGATCACTGGTCCRGTTTGTGTATTTCTGCTCATTCTTTGAGGCCGAGGCTGCTGCTACCTTGTTCTGAACTCAGGCTCAAAGAGAAGGGCAAGCAGTTTCATAGCAGTGCTGCACAGTGCCAGTTCAGAAGCATTCTCTGGGTCATAGAGCCCGAGTTAAAAGCCTGCACTTCCTACAAAACAAATCTGTGATATTGGTGTGCTTCACCAGAGTTGTCTTGTCCTAAATATGTGAAGTGAGACTGTTCCTGAACATGCACTAAGGGTGTTGTCACTGCTGTGCTTGACAGTGCCAGAAGGAAGGTCCATGAGGTAAGTTTGGTCCTGCACTGTGTATCAGGGACTCTGGGTGCCCWTAGGGGCATCATTCAGGSTATAAAGYCTTYTCTAACTTTACCTGGGGTTTGGAGYTATTGACAGTGATACTGCAGAGCAGATTGTTGAGCTGTTCGTCTTGCTGTTTATTCTTTCTCTTTTCTTCATCTTCCYTCCTCTGTCCCTGCCCCATTTCTGTTACTCCTTTGTCACTGGAATCTGTGTCATTGTCTTCTAAAAAATGAATATTAAAGTCATATTCATTAACACTTTCTGTTTCTAGTTATGTGAAAACATCTGAGAAACTTGGAGAGTGGAATGACAAAGTGACACAATCTGACTTGTGAGTGCCTCGAGCTCCTCAGCATCACCTCCTTGTTCCTTGCTGCCTTCCCCRATTCATGCTGCTCCTTGTTCTCCCAGGCATCAGGGCTTGCTTGGGAGCTGGAAGCATGGTGAAGCAGGATTGTTACTTGCAGCATGCCTGGCTTCCAGCTAGAAACATCCCTCAGTTGCAGAGGGGATGAGTAAATGTTAGTGCCATCATCTCTGTCATGGTGTTGCTATTGCAGAAGAAAAATTCCAATCAGTTACCAGACCACATTTTGTATTTAAAAAAAAGAGGGGACAAAAAGGTAACCACAATTTCCCTTTAGCTGKTAGATTAGTCAGGTGTCTTATTAGKGARCCTCAATCTTTACTGTGAAACTGTTTCCCTTCTCATCATGAATGTGGTAGGAATCACTTTGACTGCTGCCTTTCTTTAAGGTCACCTGGGAGAGAAGGGGCTGGAGGTGCTTCCCAGTAGCTGCAAGTAGAGTCTGTGGAACTGCCAGTGTGTTCATCGGCTTTTAAATCTGCTGCATTGATGTGTGACCTTTTTCCCAGTGTAGCTCTAGAAAGCCATTAATTTTAATCTTTGCTGTGTATCCGAGCAGGTGACAAGTGCAGACAAAGAACATCTGGCTGCTTGTGCTTCTGGAATATATTCTTTAATTGTATTAGCTCTCCTTTGATATTTGACATGATTCACTGATTCCTGCTGCACAGCTGAACCTAAGGAACCCTTGAGTGTTTTCTGCACTGAAGTTTCTCTTCCTTTGTCTTGTGTTGAAGGAGATGATTATTTAGCTRAGAGGAAAATGAGGACTGGGAGCATCACATCGTTAGGCAAGGTSGCACTGATCTAATTGGGGCAAGTGAATTCTAGGTGATAAGTCCCCTCCTTTGAGCACCTCTCTGTCCTGTCTGGGGTGGGAGCAGCCACCCTCTATAGTGTGTGTGTTCTCTATCTCCAGTGTTAGTTCTCACAACTCCTAAGGTATTGTTTTGTGTGTAGAGAAACATRATTTCTAAAGATTAGAAAAACAAAAGTTTGATTGTTTATCTGGTTCATGCTGTATTGGTAAAATACAGCTTTGGGTGTGGCAGTCTGATTTTTTTGGCCTTGAGCTCAGTTCACTGTTCTGTGCTTTTAGTACAGAGCAGCAACAGAACATGTAGGAAGGGAGCAGAAGATGCAAAGTCTTTCATTTCCTGACACCTTTTAAACTGAAGGCTTTGTTTCTTTGTGCTCAGTGTTTGAACATGCTTAAACAAAAGAAACTGGGGCTTAGGTGTCTCCCTGTCTCTCAAACAGCTCTTCCTTCCGGCTGTATCAGGGAGGCTGTAACTGCTGTCAGAGAACTAAAGCCTCTGATACTGTAAGTGTAATGAGTCACTAAAATGTGGAAAGTGTCAGAAGAAGCACCTGTAGTGAATCTTGGAGCTGTSTCTAACCTCAGTTGTGTTTGTAGATATCTTTCAGCCAGCAGCACACTGGAGGACTGGAATGAAAAAWTAACTCAATCAGAAGCGTGAGTGTCTTAACCTTCAGCCTTAACAAACGCTTTCCTCTGACAGTCTGCTGCTGCTCACTGTGCTSTGCTCCTGCTCCCAGTCCTCTGCTTTCACTAGATCTACCTGGACATTTACCTTTCCTGGCTTTTGCTCTTTTAACCCAATAAATGCCTCTGCTGGGAGAGGGAGCTTTTCCTCAGGTCAGTATCTGCTTGATACTCTGCAAATACCTGCCTGCACTCAGGAACTGGCTGAAAYCCTTGGGTACACTTTCAGCTGAGATCTTTGGAATAGCCAGACTGACTTTTTTGTTACCCCAACATGCTCTGCAGGGAGCAGGAGCTTTGCATTCTGCTGTGGTACCTGATGAAAATAGAGCTGTAGCRTCCAGGACAGCTTCCTGTCACATTGGGGCCACAAATAGACTCAAACAGCTTAAACCTCACAGCTGTTCTACTCCAGTTGTTGAATGCAAATCTCTCTTAAATGTGCTTTTACTAAATGCCTGAAATTAAACTCTCATCTGGACTAAATTATGGAAGGATATTATGGAAGTTGGCCTTTGTCCTTCCCACTGCGCCTTTCCCACAGTATGTAGGGCAATCCCTTACAGTGCTGCAGTGGGAGCAGGTAGGTTGTGTCATTATTTTCTGAGCTGATTTAAACTGTGGGGAGGTAGGTCTTAGGTGTGAGCCAGCTTTTCCTGTTCTCTGGAGTGGGTATGAGACACAGTCCTCGGAGCTGGCTGGGTTTTCTGTAGTATGTGTGAACGCACGGTTTTCTTCCTAACAGGAGTGAAAGAGCAGCAGAGATAAAAAGTAGGAGTAGCAGAAAAAWCTTTGAACTATGCAGGTCTGCTTTCAACTGCTTTTTCTAGATTAAGAAGCTGTAAACTGTCACTGTTTCGCTTGCTCAGTAGAGTGACCTTGGTTTTTGTGTTTGCTGACAGTGACTGACTCCAGCAGTGTTTAATCAGGGTCCCTCCCTGGGTGTGCCTGCTAGAATAGAAAACTTTGGGTTTTATCTGTTTCCTTGTGCTCCAYAAGCACCAGAAATGTGGCGGAAATATGCTTTTGTGCAGCACTTAGGGCCTAAATAGCTGTGGCACCTTAGCTTTCCTGCTTGCTTTGGCACTGGACAGAGTGACAATTGGTGCTGGCAAGGTAGAGACTGATTGAAATGGAGACATGAGGGGGGATTGAAAGATTCCAGCAATGTTTCAGAAATCGATCAGAATTTCCACTTCTCTGACTAAACTTCATTAAATGCAAAGAAGCAAGTTCAAGGAGTCCAAGGGTGAGGTTTTACTCATGTTTGGGATTTTTTTAATGCAAATGCATCGTCTGTCCTGTTTCAGAGCTGCTCTGCTTGTAACTGAAAAGGCTCTTGAGTGAACTGGGAATGGGCCTGACTCCTGACCTTACGGTGTTTTTGTGTGCTGCGGAATTTCCTGGTGTTTGCCATTCCTGGCCACAGACTTTCCCTCTTCAAGCAGTRCACAAACAGGGCAAAACCCACCCCAGTCTGTTCCTGGATCCAGTTTCATTATAATCAGAATGTGAGATGACTTACGTGGTTTGTGTCTTTAGCCAGACAGCTCAAATGGTGATTGCTGGATAAAAGCGAGTGAGAGGAAACTGGTGTTAATGGATAAAGGAGGATTGGAGGGTGCAGATTTTATTCCTTCCTGTCAGGGTTTATTGGAGAGGGGTGCAGTGAAATGTTGGAATACCATGGGATGAACAGCACAGGGCAGAGATCATCTCTGTGGCTTCTGCTGCAGCCAATTGCCTGTGAGTAAAGCRAGGTATTAGTCAGGGCTTATATTTATTACTCCCAGATTTGGATTATTCCATTGTGCTTTGTGCTGGGGCTAAGGGAAGAAARTGAGCACTCGTGAATTTACACCCGTGGAAAACCCAGCTGTGGCACTTGCAGGAGAAGAGTTGCAACTTCTAGGTCAGGGCTGGGTGTAGTTAAGTTGCATTAAAGTCTTGTATAAGCTGATCCCTGGCTGTCACAGATGCAGCTCCACATGTGTGTCTGGTGGCAGTTCTGGGTTACAGAGCTGTTCATCTCTTTGTGCTTCCCTGGCTCTGCCTCCTGCCTGGCAGCAGGGAGGTGTGTATGTGTGTAGGAGCTGTGGATGTAGGGCTAGGCTGGCCATCTGATCCAGCTGCCKGCTTTTTTGTGCTTCCAAGTTTATATTTAATCTAGATTGTTTTCTTGATCTAGATTGCTGTGCCAGCACAAGCAGTTGTGCTGGAGGAAGGAGCACACTCAGGCAGAAGCAGCAGCACCCCACTGCTCGGATCTTCAATTATATTAAAAATTCTGCTGTCAGGTGTGGAAAACAAAACTGGAAAATCTCTAACCTTCATCTGCTGAAACTGGGCATAATACCTGGACTTCCGCAGTGTGAATGGCATGATGGTGTCCTTTGGGGCTGTAAACCATTCCTCAGTGCTGAGCTCTGGGTGCCAAGCAGACCTAGAGTCAGCACTGCATACTTTGGTGAGCACGAGGTCTTCAATATTTGTTAGGCAGCTGTAAATCAAATCCCATGACAGGGCTCAGCCAGGGTGGAGCCTGGCTGCTGAAGGCAGGGATTGACATCCTTTTCAAACACAGTGGTCACTATGGGAAGGTGATCCCTGTGTGAGATCAAGCAGCCTCAGTGCTGATCAGTTCACTCCTAAATCGTGCTGAGGTGCAGCAGATTGTGCTGTGCAGAGGCAGTGTTAAGGCCTTGCTGTTGGGGCATGCTCAGGTTCTTCTGGARCTATTGACTTCAAGAAGAATTGGTCTGAAAAATGTGTAGGTTATAGGAATTTTCCTTCAGGAGCTGGAAGAGGGAAGGAAAACCTAAKGTAGTTTTGCCCCCTTTTTCTGCCTAAGTCTTGTGTATATTTGTGATTTAGAAATACTTGGCTGTGGTATTAAGAAAACCCAAAAAAACCAACATGTYGTAATTGGAATTGCTCAAATCCATTTCGGTTGCTTGGTGCTGTCCATGCATTTCTGCCTGGAGAGAAGGAGATGTGAGTAAGTCACTGTCACCGTGGTGTTTGTAGCCAGGGGAGCTCAGGCGTGAGAGAACGTCAGGCTGTTCATAATGCCCTTCTCCTAAATATCCTCACCAGACAAAAAAAAATAAACTCAAGCTGAAATATTTAGTATAAGAAAAGCATAAAATGTTGAACTTGTTTTCCAGTCTGAGTCTTTTCTTTGTAGTCTGARGAATGACATAAATTTAGATGTTAATCATCAACTGTAGAATAGTTTAGAGAGAATGAATTAATGAAAGTGACTCAAAGAATCTTTGTTCCTGAGATTAGTCTCATCTGAAGGAAACAAAGGTTCTCATGTGTCTCCAGCTCAGGTATAAACTCAAATAATCAGCTGACAAATAAAAGCTGYCAGACTTCTTACCTACTGTGGTTAATGGTAACTGATAGGAAACTTCTCTACCAATTTATTTCTAAACTGCTCTTGTAGAATTAATGCTGATTCCTGCATTTCTCTTCTGTATGGCGATGATGGTCTTGCTTTTTGCCTCTTTGCTCCAAAACATAATGCCACAACAAATGCTATGACTTCCTCAAGGCTGCAAGGATAGTATGGAATAGGTTCCTAGATTTATTTTCTCCAGGACACCAAGATGTGTTTGTAGAGCAATTTGGCTACAGTGCTGTGGTGTTAGAGCTTCCATGTAGAAAACTGGTTTTGCTTTGGTTTCTAGTAAATGTTAGATTTAAGAACATATGTCAAAAGTATAGGGTGAATGTATGGAAAGGTTAATCCCACACTCCCTGGTTTTGTAAAACTTCAAGTATTTGAATAYATGCAAATCTGGAAGTGGCTCTTTCAGTGAAGTCAGTGCAGCTCACTAACCCAGCTGCTTTCCTTTAATATGGGGCCCCTTTTSAAAATGGGGGGGTGGCATTTTGAGATACAACCTCGTTGTTCAATTTATGATTTTTTTTCCATTTAGTTATAAGAAGACGCAGGAAACCCTTTCCCAGGCAGGACAGAAGACTTCAGCAGCCCTTTCCAATGTAGGTTCTGTTATCAGCAGGAAGCTTGGTGACATGAGGTAAGATTTTTGGTTTGCACTCCAGTGCTTTGATCTCGGTTTCAAACAGGAATGGGACTTCAGACAATAGCTAGGCTTTTTTCCATTTTTCTGCTTAGTTGGCAGCACATTGCTGTTGATGGACTGCCACCTTCTGTGTGGCCCTGTGCATTGTAGTTTAGGACAGATTAAGCACTTGCTGACGATTTATTGGTGGGATAAAATCATTCTAAGGCATTTAAGTTTGGTCTGTTTAGGAGAACTGAYCAAACATTTTTAGCAGCCTTCACCCTTTTACTGTCATGTAAATTCACTGCAGCTTTTATGTCATATGTAAGAAACTAGAATTAAAGTTTCCCTTTTCCATTCCTTACTGGATTATGGAGATGTGTTTTCTCAGTGTAACTGCTTTGGATTAGAGAGGGGTCATCCCTCCTGTGCTCTGTTATGATTAAAAACAAAAAAGGCAAAGTCTGTTGCATTCCATGTGGTTTCAAGCCCCGGGTGTTGACATTCCATAGAGAAGGGCAGCGTGTCTTCCAGACACGGTTAGGTCATGTTGGTTGGAAAATACCAATTGATTCAGAAGATTATGACARCATTAAAAATTTGTTCTGTGGTTGGTGGTTATCTCTATTCCTTAAGTAGATGACACTGAAATTATTGCAAATTTAAACTTCTCCTGATCGGCAAAACGGACAAGCTCCCCTGGCTGAGGTTCTTGCTCTGTGAGTTTCTCAGCTGTACGAAGCTCAAGGTTAGAATTGGTGATTTACCTGCTCCTCTGAAATTTAAGCTAAACATTTCTTCCCTGCTAATAGTAACATCCAAGTTTTTCTTGCAGAATCCCTTGACCATATTGTTTTTTTTTTTTTTTTTTGCAATTAGAAGCTAATTTAGGATGTACAGCCTGTCTAGGTTACTAATGAAAGATTTTTAGAGCTTGTATTTAACATGCTGCATCAGACCTTGGATTGAATGGGTAGCTGTCATTCTTTGTAGGGAATTTCCTATTCCACTGTGGCTGGGAGTATCYGAGTGGTAAGAACTTGTTGGCCTCTGATCACATAGTGCTGATTTATTCTGGTTCTGTCCTCAGTGAGGTAGTTACTGTGTTCCTTGAGGGTATTTTTTGGTGTTTTCARTAGCTCTCATCTCTGAATTTGGCAGAGGACTAGCTGGCTTCCTACCCTTTCCGGCATTCAAGTTGTAACTTTTCTTTCCTGGAAACTCCCTAGTGTGCTGGAAGAAGAGATTTTTATGTAATCACAGCAGATTACAGATACTGGCACAAGATGTGGTGGGAACACATTTTGCCAAACTGATAAGTAAATTTGGGGCCTGGTTTCTGCCGTCTGGCCAGGCTGTTGCAGCGAAGGAATGGGAACTGTGCTTTTTTTGGGACCACACGGGGAACTCCTGAACCAGAGTTGCCACCAGAATTTGTTTTGACAGGCTTGGCCCTGCCTGTTGTTTTTTAGTTGGGAGATGCAGGTCATGCAGCTGCTGAAATGTTTGTGCCATCCCAGGAGCTGATGATRGAGGGAGGGGATGCTGGGGTGCTCTCCTGGTGGCAAAGCTGGCCTGGCATGGTCACTGTGACAACTGTCCATGTAATCAGCTGGCCCAGGCACGAGCCAGGCCTTTGCAGCAGTGATTTTGCTCAGCTTCAACATCTGCAATTCCTTTTTATAGCTAATACCTTGAGTGAGGTGTTATGAAGTAGAGGCAGCTTCTGTCTTATCGCTTGGGAATCCCTGCCAAAGTTATTTCAGCAGGATTTGTGTACATGGCCCTGCGGGGGAACACAGTAATGATTTTTTTTTAAAGACTTTCAGTTTTTCTCTGCATATATAAACAGACTTCCATCTCCTGTGCTGTATCCAAGTCTTCCTGTTTCTGATTCTGAAGAAGGTTTAACTCTGAGYGTAAGGTCTTGCAGGAACTGTCCCACTTTTCACCCTTGCCAGGTGAACTCTGGTGTTCTGATATGTGATCAGAGCTGATGAGGAGTGAAGTCTGTTGTATTGCTGTGATCACTGCTCTGAGCAAGTGGGATGATCTTTGTTCCCAGAGAATCTCTGTTACAGGCCTTGTAGCCTACACTGACCTCCATTACTGTGCTCTGTTTTTTTTCCTTCTTACACTACAAATTCACTTGTAAAGMGAGTTTATTTTCCAGCACTGGAAGTGTGGAGATAACAGAGGGGATTTCCTTGTTTAGTCAGCCTTCACCGGTTGATAAATGCAAGGAAGGCCTGATGAATGGGACAGAGCCTCTGATACACCGAGGGCGTGGGCATAATTCCATCAAAAATGCTTGGGCCAAATTGCTATTAAATACAAGTAACACATTAAATCTTTAGACTTGCTGTATTCTTGTCAAAATAATTTTGGTGTGTGAGTTGTAACCTTGGGAAGTTAGTGCTGTAACTGCATGCTCGGTGCTTTAATGCTCTACTGGATTGCTTTGAGGGGAGAAAATGTACCTTAGTGGGTGGGATTTTTTTCAAGTCTTGGCCTCTTCAGATGTCTCTGTTATCTCCACCTACAGTTAAAAAGTAAATTGGCTTTTAGACAATCTGTTCCTGCATTTTACTGATTCCAGTAAACTGCAAAATTTGGAAAAGTGTTTTTTCTTTTTGTTGCTTTGTGGGTTTGTGTCCACCGATGCACTTCATGCTGTCTGATGACGTTTGCTGCTGTACATAATGCTACAAGCAAATTAATTTTGAAGTGTTAGCCTGAACCCAGAAGTGCCTGCAGATTCTAGAATTTATGTAAACTTATGGAAGGAGGAGAAGTGTTATTGCTAGGTCCAGGGCAAGATATTGAATAAGAACTAGTGCTTGTGGTATTCCGTATGGAGCAGCATGGTGCATGGATGTGTTATCTGTGTTGTTCTCCTTTAAGCAAGAGTCAGTAGAAAGTTAATTTATCTCACACGCAAAGGCAGCATTTCAAGGAGTCTGCCCTGCCAAAGAGCTGACTTGGGTATGTGGGGAAATGAAACCACAAAGCCCAACATCTTCACTCTGGCTGTCAGGAAAAGCCCTTGTACTCCTTGCCAAGTACTTCACATCCAGCTTGCCATGACTGTTYCCTGCTGCAGAGACAAAAATTATATTTAAGTGGAATAAAACACTTCTCTGGCAGGAGAAGCTCCTTTAGAGCATCCTGGTAATCTTACTATTAGAACTAGGAAACTTCAGGCTGTTGTTTCAGACAGCTGAGATGCTACTGCATTGCAAAATCCCAGCCTAAAAATTGGCAACCGAGTTACAGGGYAAACATGATACCTTTAATCTTATCTTTATTAGGCTGCAGTCCATTTGTTCTCTSTGCTGTAGCTTCGAGATTTGCAGGCTTGGCAAGATAATGTGCAGGTATCCATTGCAGGTTGCCCTTACACAAGTACTCACCAGAAGTCCGAGCAATGCTGTCTTTGTATGAGAGACCACAGGGGGAAACAGGGGATGGAGGTATCTCTGCCAATGTAGTTGGTGCTTGGTAAAACCTTCAGTTTAGGAAAACAAAACCATGTGAGAGYAATGGATGGGGGTAGGTAAAATGTTTTGGTTTGCTGTTGCACATTTACTCCTTCCCCTCCCTAGCTGGGTTCTAAGTTGAGGTAGGTGCTGTTATTGCTCTTCGAGAAACAGCTTGTCAGGAGTTAATGAAAAGCAWTTTTTTTGCTTGCTCCTGTGATTTATTTTGAGAGTTTTCTCCTGGGTAGTTGACTCTGCTGTCCCATGATTTTGTGACCGTGTCCCTGCGTTCAGTGTTTAGCTCTGCGTGAGTTTCTGACCATTCCTTCTTTTTTCTCTCTGCTGCCTGTGGCCTCTCCCAGGGCTCACTCCATCTCACATTCCCTTAGGTAAGATACYCCTCAAGACTCTAAAAGAGCATTTGTTTCTGTGCCAGGCCCTTGCAGACCTTAAAGGGGAAGCTGGTTATTTAAGCCTTGCCTGAACTTTTGGCACAGATTGAGAAATCTACCACAAACCAATGCCCTGGGATTGACTTTTGTATCACATTTGTACTTAAATATTGACTGTCCCATGTCTGGAAAACTAAATTCTGGGCTGCAGCTGTTAAATTAGGGGATAGAGGGCTGRCTCCTACCACTTGGATTGTCCACAGCAGCCTGTGTGTGGACAGTGAGTGCTTCAGACCCAGGGTTAGGCTGCTTTTGCATGGTGTCAAATTGTCATTAACTTTTTCCTCCTTGTCCCAAATGCTTCCGAGCAGCGGCTACTCCATCCGCCACTCGATAAGTATGCCAGCCATGAGGTAATGTAGCACGGGCCTGCTTCTCCTGAGTGGGGCTGGGGGGAGGACAGCTGCCTCCATCACTGCTGGGGGGTTTGTTCTGAMTGGTACAACTGGCTCTTTTCTGGAGCTGGCCCCTCTCTGAGTGTGGGTTAATCACAGCCTTTGGTTTGACTCTTTAAAGGGTTTTTTGATGTCCGTTACGGTCATTAGCACCTGTCTTCTCGTGGACTCAGTGCAGTGTTTTACCTGTCCCAAAGTCTGGTTGAAAATTGCAGCTTTCAGAGGTCCCTGAAGGGCAGGATTRAAGTTCTGTCACTCTGTATGGCACAGCCTTTGCTGATTCCAAGGTGGATCCTAATGTAAACCCTCTGTAGAAGTGGCAGCTGCCCAGCCTGCTCGACCTTGATAAAAAGGGCTTTTCCTATGAGAAAGCACATACCAAAGGATCAACTCCAGCCATAAACACCTGTGTGAGAATGCTTTGATTAGCCCTACAACACTGGGCTTTGGGTGTATGTGGGAGATGCAAATGTTGTCTGATAAAAGCAAGAAACATCTGCTTGCTTGAGGGATTGCTCTCACTCCCTCCTRTTGGCTGGCTGCATGGTGGAACCTAAAACTATGCAGAAAAAAACATATAAATTCTGAAGTGTGTTTAATAAAGACAATCCTGCTAGGGGAGAAGCTGAGGCCTGTATTRTTATCTGTCACACTGCTCCACCCTCTCCTTGGCCTTCACTTAATGGTGCCTTAGGTGGTGCTCTCCTTGCAGGAGAAATGACTGCCAGGGATGGACAAGGCCCACAGAACTCTCTCTGTTCATCCTCATTCCAGATCAATGGAGGTTATTTTATGGCTGCAAATCTAAAGCAATTCCTTGGAACRAAAATAACTGAGATGAGGCAAGTCATCTCCCAGCGCTCCCGCAGCCTGGCCCCGGGGAGCAGCTCTATGAGTAATTGCCTGGTCTGGAAGCTCAGTACAGAGCACTCCCTGAAATCCTTTGCCAGTGAAGCAGCTTGTTGGGTTGTCAAACAACTGACCTGGTTTTCTTTGCTAGAAATATGAAATGCTCTGATTAATTTATTACACTGTGATTTTCGTGAGCATTTCCTGATGCAAATGAAAGAAATAATTTTATTATAGAAATAAAACTGCTGATAGGTGCAGGTACACAGCCCTTCCCCTTCCTCCYCGTGGGATGTAATACAGGAAACTCAAGCCTTTGTTACAAACCTTTCTCAGCTTTCCCTTTCCACTGTTTAAAATAAAATGGTTTTAGTTAGAATTTTTGTAAAGCTAAGAGCTGGTTTCTTTTCTACTTACCATGCCCTGATTCCCCAGTGAACTAAGACTTGTTTCCCTCCAACATTTTAGCTTGAGCAATTGAGTGGACTGCACATGGTATAAAYATTTTCCTTCAGAGTTTGTTTGTGATGTTCTTGCCTGGTGTGCCTGAGAGATTTGTGCCAAAGGCTGTGAGGAGCTGGAAGTGTTCTGGTGCTGGTGTCACTTCAGGGGAATGGCCACAGAGCCCAGTCACACTGTGCCATTTGACATGGTCAAGAGCTAACTTGTCTTGATTTGTTGTTTTTTTCTCCCCTTTTTCTTCTTCAAGGAATTCTGCAACCTTCAAGTCCTTTGAAGACAGAGTTGGGACCATAAAGGTAACAGTCTGCTTTGTCTTGTAAACACGGAGCGTGAAGCCTTGTGCAGAAACTTTAATTTCTGCAATGTTTTTCTTGTAGACTAGTATTCGGGCAAATGGCCTCTCAGATATGTGAAGTCTTGGCTACAGTAGGTGACCTTGACAAGGGGGAATTGACTTGGTATTCCCAGTGCTGCTTTCTTGTKGCCCTCACTCTCTTCTCTCCTTCCAGTCCAGAGTGGTGGGCAGCAGGGAAAACAGCATTGACAGCCTCCACTCCCCCTCTGGAGCTGGGGACAAGCCTCCACAAGACAACGCTCCCTTCTAGACCTGGATGTGGCTTTGCACGGCTGTGCACAACTGGAAGAGCCCCCTCCCTCCCAAACCTTCACCACAGCAACGACATGCGAATCCGAGAAGGGGCTGAGAGCCAGTCTGGAGAGATCCATCCTTCATTCATAGACACTGCTGCTGGATCCAAGTCAAATAAAGAGAATGCAAAGTTTTGTACACAAATAATATTTTACACTAAAGTTTGTAGATTAAATGTATCACTGCTGTCCTTTTGGGAGAGCGTGTAAGCTGGAGTTTCCTTAAAGTAGCTCAGAAATGCCACTGCTGTAGATGAAAACAGTTTTCCCCTGTCTGACATAGCTTGGAGCAGAGATATGGCCCTGAGCAGCATGAGGARRGCAGTAACTGGAGAAGCCAAGTGCATGGGCACCTTAGCTTCAGCTTCTGTCTCTGTTCTCTGTGTGGGCTACTCTGGGAGCTCCCAGGCTTCTCCTGTTACTGTTTTCTCTGCTGGCACTCATCGGAGCAGTTGGGTTAATGGGGTAAACAGTTGGGTTTTTTCTGGGCTCCTAAAAGGTAAACTTCRCTTAGCAGCTGCCTCGTTGTTACACTAATGCTCTAGCTTTAACAAAACTAAGAATCTTTATTTTTAAATGCAATGAACTTTAAAGAAATAAAGCTTAAAAACAGACAAAAAAAAAAAGCTTTGGCATCATATTAGGGCAATGCTCCCTTGGACTCTGAAGCTGAATTGCAAGCCTTACATCACTTACGCTTTTGTTGTTAATGATTTGTTTTCTGTAGAGAAGACTGCAAGGTTTCTAAAGCTGGTTGTTGAGCACTGGAGTTTTGCATCATGCAGTCATAGCAGCATGTTTATAAAGCCAGTTCTTGTGTTAAATTCAGTGGTGCACTCTGTTTCCCGAGTGTATGAAACTTGCTTCTCCCTTCTCAGCTTATACCTTCGTTCTCGGAGGAATTTCTGAAGGCTGGAATATGGATACCATTGGAGGTTCTCTGCTCTTCGAGGGCTCCTCCAGCTGGTACATCTGGCTGTRACTGGATGGGTTTCTCAGTTGAAAGCCCCAGCTCTAATTTTGGTTTACAAAACTAGCAGAGTCATGGAGCTCACCCAGTCCCCCTAGGGGCTGGATGTTTTGCTTTTTTGATGTCCAACTTCATTGCTCAGGAGCTGACAAATTCCAAGTTTTCTCCTAGAGGCCTGTTTTTATTCTAGGCAAGGTGCCTCCACRTAGAAATACCTAGAGTGAGCGATTCTGTGCCTTAGAGGCGAAGTGGGACTTACTCAGGTCTTTAAACTTATGTACATATCTGGGTAGTTTTAGTGGTTTATCACCCCGGAGGGACTGAACTGCCTCTGACCCTTTAGAGAAGCAAGTTTTGACACTGATTTGATTAATCTCCATTTTCCCCACCCCTGCTCCCCTCCCTCTGCAGACCTGGGGACATGGGATGAGATGTTAGTGGGCAGATGTACTAGGCTATAGGTGGAGTGTCGAGTGTTGTTCATGGGCACTCCTTGTTTGACTGGAACTGGCCTCTCTCTGWGGAGCAGAGACAGTGAAACAGGGACTGCGGGATCTTGGGTATGGAACTGTTTCTCTTTAAGATAAAGACTGAGGAAACTTGTCAATAAAGGATTCCTTTGGGAGAAAATAGGGTGAATGTCGTTGTCTTGTTCTATCTAACAGCGCTGAAATCCCCTCTTGGGTGTGTGTTACGAACTCGTCAGGTAAATAACTGCCTGCAGCAGCCTGAGGCAAGAAGCAACTGAAATATTCCATCCTATCCTTCTGGCTTGTCTGCTGGCTCTCTGGATCCTTTCTCATGAAGGAATGTACTAAATAATATTTACAGTCTGATGTTTCCTTTCCAAAATTCCAGACATGGTTCCATAGCTGGTTCCTGAGCTGTGCCTGTGTTCTGGGGAGCTGCACACTTCATAACTGGTGCTGTAGGTGAACTCCAAATTTCCTCGTGCTGTATTCCCGAGCTAGGAGCGTGGGACTGCAGTCCCAGCAGTAACCTTGGCAGTGGGAGCTGAGGTTGGAGAAACTTCTAATGTGGAAAAGCTGCAGCTGTGGTGCTGGCGTGGCTTGACAGTGTGATACCTCAGGGAATCAGTCACTTCCTTGGAAGCTCTGGCAGTCCAACAGCACAGGGGGAGCCGTGGATGGACGGCTGGAACTGGGAGCTGCTCTCTCCAAGTTTAAAAGGGCAGTGGAGGGCGGGCAAATAGCTTGTGGAGAGGCCAGCAGAGATCTTCAGTGTGGTGTTTTCAGAGGAAGGATGTCCGGCTAAGCTTGAGGAATCTGCTTGGTCGTGAGGGTTTGGGTTTGTGGGGTTTGGGTGTTTTGMAGGTTGGGGGTGTTTTTCCTACATAACTTCATTAGGTGAAACTCCATCTCCACAAGTGGGGCTTAGGACAGAGGGATTGGTATGAGACCTGATCCTGGAGGAGACATTGCTGGGAGTGCCAGGCTGTGGTGAGGGGAAGGCGGATCGCTCCATCCCACAAAGCAGGTAAACAGCAGAACCGAAAAGTAACTAATGCAACAAGCAGGAYGGAGAAATTTTCCCTGCTGTCACCATGTCCCAGCCCTCAGCCAAAACCATGGCAAGCGTTTCTTAAGGAATTTGACTTTTATGCTCTGAGAGGGGTTGCACAACCACTCCAGCAGCGGGAGCCTGTGCTCATCGCAGCCGAACAGGCAGTGTCCAGAGCCAAACACTGGCCTTGGGCTAGCAGCCTGGGCCAAATGCTGCACCCCTGTGGGTGCTGGGCTGGGCTCAGTGTCTCTTCTTGGGTGCAGACTCCGTGCAAGATCCARGGTCAGTGCTGGGGAGCCCTGCAGATCTGCGGTTTCAGAAGGAGAAAGGTGCTGGAGCTGGACTGGGGATGGAGCTGGAGCAAGGAGAGGGTGTGGGTGTGTGATTCATGGCGATGACTGTTGGCAAATGGGATCCATCATCGTTCATSTCTTTAAAACATGACTCAGAGGCAWCAGACGGGAAAGGCCATTRGAGTCACACAGAGARGACTCACACATCMGCAGGGCTATGCCGGAGCAATGGGAGGGATAACGAGCGAGTGTCCCTGCACTGGCACTGGGGCCACCACTGCAGGGTCACTTGCTCCAGGATGCATTGAATGGGTGGAAGCCGTGATTTTACCCAACGCTGGGAAACAGCCRTGTTTCCCAGGGAACAGCCAGGAGTGCCAGGAAACTTGAGCAACTGGGAAAAACAGACTCATGAGCTTAAAATCCCATTTTGCTCTAATTGTAAGCACTCATTTTCATTAAAGGGAACCGGCTCTGCACGGGGCTCCTGGAGAACCCAAGAGGTGGTGTAGGGCCGGGTGGGTGGGTGGCAGGCAGGATAGGATTTTCAGAACAGGGGCAGGGGTTGAAGGTCCTGCCCAAAGCATACTCAGTACWGGGGTCGGTGTTCAGGCAGCATGCTGAGCACCTGGACAGCATCCCAAAGGCAGTGAACCCTCAGGCCGGTGGCACACGGGTGATGTGCTGGGGGTGTTCCCTGTAGCCCCCAGCCCCACTGCAGTACCAGCTTCTGGCTCCTCCGCTATCCCGGTCTGACTGCAGCCCCTGTGCCTCTGCCTCTGCCCCCAGCCCCGCAGATCCCCGTGTCACAGCCCCCAGACCCAGCGCTCCCTGTGCCACGGTCACCAAATCCTGTGAGGAATGCAGCCCCCGGCCGCAGCCGCAGCCGTTGTGCCGCAGCCGCCAACCGCCCCGCAGCTCCCGGTCCCTGTACCACAGTCACCGGTTCCCGTGATGGATGGCAGCCCCCGYCCCTTGCACTGCAGCCCCCGGTCCCACCGCAGCCCCGATGCTGGTGTCACTGTCCCTGCCCGCCCACGGTGACTGTGCATGAAATGCAGCGAGAGAACCACACTCGTATCGCTCCCTGGTGGTCTAGTGGTTAGGATTCGGCGCTCTCACCGCCGCGGCCCGGGTTCGATTCCCGGTCAGGGAAGTTCCGTTTTTGCCGCGCTCTATGCCGCTTTTCCACCTTCCTTCCCT